GCCCTGCCGGCCCCCCGGGGCTCTGCCTCGCCATGGCCGCGGCCTCCTCCCCGCCCGAGGCCGAGAGGAAGCGCTGGGGCTGGGGCCGCCTGCTGGGCGCCCGGCGGGGCAGCGCGGGTCCGGCCAAGAAGTGCCCGTTCTCGCTGGAGCTGGCCGAGGGCGGCCCGTCGGGGGCCACGCTCTACGCGCCCATCGTGCCGCCCGGAACCCCCGGGCCTGCGACCCCGGGGTCGCCCCCCGCACCCCCTGCTCCCGACCCGGGCCCGCGGCCGCCAGTGAGCCTCGACCCGCGCGTCTCCATCTACAGCGCGCGCCGCCCGCTCTTGGCCCGCACCCACATCCAGGGCCGCGTCTACAACTTCCTCGAGCGCCCCACGGGCTGGAAGTGCTTCGTGTACCACTTCACCGTGTGAGTAACCTGCACGGACTCCGTGGGGCTGGTGCGGGAGCGCGGTCGCCACCGCTTCCACCTGCGCCCGCCGCCACTTCGCCCTAGCTGCGACCCTGGGGTGGCGGGGAGGCGAGGAACACAGAAACCAGCCTGGGAGCCAGTCCCCCGAGGTTCAGGGACTCAGCTTGATTGAAGGTGGCCCTGATGGGGCATGTGGAGGGTGACACTTGGAAAAGGGGTTAAGCCAGCCCCAGAGCTGCCCCCCTCCTTTGGGTGCGAGGCCGCCCAGGTGTTAGTCCTTGTGGGAGAGGAAGCTGGAACTTTGGGGTGGGTCAAGAGTGACTGGTCCCTGTGCTGAGATCCTCCCAGGCCTTGGCAGGTGTCTGTATTGGGGACTCATAGGAGCAGGTTAACTCAACATGCCCACAGGGGAGTGCCCACAGCCTCACTGGCCAAGCTCATGAAAGCCAGCTGGATGCAGAGCCAGGCGGACACATTTTCAGGCGCTGGTAGATAGCACCTGCCCAGGACAGGGGCGGGAGCAGGGCTGCACCTGGCCTTTATGGCTACCAGGTGGCTCTCATCCCACAGGTGTGGGCATGCCTAAGAGGGGCAGGGCACTCCATTTCTCAAGGGCAGGGGCACAGGAAGTCACCTCGGGGAAGGGTCTGGCTGCCCTCCTTGCTGCCTCCCCCTGGCCACCTTGACGCTTGTATGTCCTGACTGTTCTGCTTCTTGGTGCCCTGCCAGACTCTGGCCCCGGATTCTACTCCAGTGCCCGCCCCTGTAGCTGATTGCTTTGGAAGCTCCACTGGGTGACCTCCCCGTGGGTCCCCATTGGTGAAGTGTTTGTCTTAGGACTTGAATGCCCAGGGGTCTGTTTATTCCTATGAATAGCTGTGACTGGGTCCCCCAGGCCCAGCAGGAGCCAGGCTCAGGAAGATGAGCTGAGAGTTTCCCTTCTTACAGAGGGAGACAGGACATCCTGTGGCAGCTAGGGCAAGTCTCAGGGGGCACCCCATTCCCATAGACATGCTTGGTATATCCTTAAAGCCACTCAACCCCCAGCCCTGCCTCCTAAAGTGCCAGGGCCCCAGAGATTTCATTGCTGGTCTGTGGAGGAGCTGCATGGCAGCCTCGGTGGGCTTTTCTTAGGGATTAGGGAGGAGTTGTGTGGAGAGACCCCAAGGAGTCTTACTCAAGTCCAATTCCGCTGTATGGATGTCCATCAAAATATGAGACCTGTGGGTGCCATGCTGAAGGTGGCTAGCTGCTTCCCAGCACTTACCTGCTGGACTGTAAGCTCCCTAAGATGATGAGAATGCGGGGTGCTGGAGAAGCCTCTACCTTGTTACCTCTGTGCTCATCACACCTGTCTGCCAAGGCAAGCAGCCTTCGGACGCCTGCACAGTGTCCTCCTGGTGATGCAAGCCATAGGATGACCACCCTGGCTCCTGTTGTGGCTGTGGTGGCCTGGCCTGGGTGGAGGAAGAGGACTTGCTCCGCCTCAGAGGAAATCTGTGCTTACACTGCGCTCTCTTCCTGAATTGGATTGTTCAGGCTTCGGGAAGTTTGCTTAGTGGGTCTGGTTTACTCAGCCTCCACAGGGCCCAGGAGCCACAGGACCTTGGTGGTTTCTGGGGTTGGTGGCCTAAGGGTTAGGGCTAGGGCTAGAGTTGCACCTCTGGCAAGGAAGGGAAGTGGGAAAGGGATGCTTCTGCAAAGGGCTACATGTCAGTTGACCAGCTTTCCTCTGTTCTAGCCCTTTGTGAGTTGTGGCTGGTGGTGGAGCTTAGTCATCCCCCCACCCCCCACCATGCTGGTGGACACTGTTGGCACATGGCATGTATCTTGCCCAGGCCTTGGGCAAGCACTGTTCTTGGTAAGATGGATGTGGAACATGTCCGGTGATGGTTTTCTGGCTCAGAGGGTAGGCCTGCCCTTGGAGGGGTGGAGCTTGCATGTGCTCTGGGGGCTAAGCATCCTACAGGCCCGGACATCCTGGCCCCTCCTTGGGGAACCCCTGCCCTGGCCCAAGGAGAGCAGCTCTTCCTGTGTCGGTGCTGGCCTTGGCTGACTGGGTCAGGACATGGCCCCTGGGCACTGCCCTTGCCTGTTTGGCCTGCTTGGGTTCCTGCCTTCTCACCCTCATCCTTTCTTGTGACTCTCTGTGTCCCCACAGAGATCAGCTCCCTTCCTACTTGAGGTCATGGGGGTCTAGCCACCTTGCTGCTGGGCCTTGGCCAGCGGCAAGGGCAGATGTCCAGCCAGTATCGACTCTGATTGCCAAGTTGCCTAGAGATCCTGACTGTGTTCAGCAGAGGAGCTTGAGAGACAGGCTTAGTGCTCTTGAACCCAAACCTCAGCACCCTTGTCCCCTTCTCCCCACAGCCCGGGCTGGCTGGGTTCTCAAGAACTTTTCTGAAGCACCTGCCAGATCATGCATGGAAGTTGCGGCTGGGCCTGGTGGTCGTCCATTGGACTGGCCTTTCCAGTGCAGGGGCCATGTCATATCGGCTGTGGCTCCCATTGGAGAGTGGCCACTGGGCAGTTGTCAGCAGACCCAGGAAGGGAGCGGCGATGGAGGCAGAGAGCTGAGGTGGCTGCAGGGCTGTCTGGATGCCCAGGTCTCTCCTGGCTCCTTCAAGCCCCTCTACCTGTTCTTCAACTCCGGGAATAAATTTAAGGCATCTCTTTGTGGCTTCTCCCTTTGCCCTCTCCTCTGGGGCCTGGATGCTGTTGTCAACCTCTGGCTGTCCACACACCCCTCCTCAACCCTGCCATGCTTCTATGCTACTGTAGCCTGCCGTGTGGAGCTCCTCGTCTTGACCTGCCATGAGCTGGGGGACTACAGGCATCCTTTGGCCAGGATACTCAGCAGGGTAGCGAGAGGAGGCAAACCTGCAGAGAACTCGGATCCCCTGGAGGAAAGGCGTCCCTACCCGGGGGTCAGGAGGGCCTGGTGTATCTGTGCTACTGCAGGGCTGTGCCAAGCGGTGGTTGTAGTGGGAGCCACTGAGACAGAGCTGAGGCACTGTCCGCACCCACTGCTTCTCACTGCGCCTGGTGCTTGGAGTCCTCCGGTGGCAAAGTGGGGTCCAGAGCTCAGCATTCCTGGGCAAGGTGTCCACCTTACAGTGGTTCCAGTGGTTCACAGCACCCAGTATAGGATGTTCCCAGCAAGTCTGCCTATCAGTGAGAGGAGCCTTGGCTGCCTCCTTCAGCAGCTCCCAGGCACTGGGGCACAGGTCTAGAATCCCTAAAGAACTAATTCCTGTTGGCCTGATCAGGGGCCCCTAACCCCACACTCTCTTCAGCGCTCTCGTCTGGGAAGTGGACCCTGATAAGCCGTGTGGTCCCTCCCAGCCCTGATACCAGGCTAGCTGTTGGATCCTGCATACCTGGATGTGATTCACTTCCCTCCCCACTGTGAGGCTGACAGTTGAGGAGACTCTCAGCTTGGAGCTTCTGAGGTATAGGTTAACCTCCAAGGAGCATGCTCCAGGCAAAGGAGGAGACCAGGGTGGGAGTGTGAGGTCAGTCTTGAAGAGAGCACCAGAGAAGCTTCTAGAAGCTCTTATGTGCTGGTGTCTAGCCTCTACCTTTGGGACAATGAAGGGCCATGTGGACAGCAATCCTGGGATTGGTTATAGAGAGGGAGGTCCTGTTGGACCCCATTGGCAGGCACATGGCATAATAGGCAGGGCAGAGGGGAGGCTGGGGCTCTGCTGGGCCTGTTGAGGAAGTACCACCCAGGCACCCAGGGCTGGTCAGTATGAGATGTCACCCCAGCTGAGCTCTGCTCATCCCAGGACCCCTGGGATCCCCCATGCCTCTTCTTGGTGGACAGCTCTTTCTATAGCCCTGCCAAGCATGCAGAATGCCAGATTGCCAAGGGCTGCAGAGAGGAGCCTGAGGTCGCTCTGCTATCGGTCAGTGAGAAGGTGGAGGGACGACTCTGAAGACACGTTCTCCTGGCCAGCCCCATTCCCAAGGTTCCGTGTGGGTGCTGGCCAGGCAGGGGGCTAACCAGCTCTACCCAGGGGCTTTGGGGAAAGGTGGAGGTGACTAGCCAATGCCTTTGTCAAGGGCCTATCAAGCATGGCTACTTTCTGAGAACCCTGGGGCTCAGAGAGGGTGTGCCTAAGGTCACACAGTTGGGTGTGCCCCAGGGACCAGGAGCTCCTTCCCCACATACCAGGTGATGATCAGAGTCATGTGAGGAATGCCCTTGCCACCCTACTGTTCTTCCAGAAGGAGGATAAAGAGGTCCTGGGCAGGAAGATGGGATGGAGCCCAGCCTGACAAACCCCACCTCAGCACACACTGTTCAATCTTCAGAAGCCTTTGTGGCTCCGTTCAGAGGCCACCGCCTCCAGGAAACCTTCCCGGGCAGAGAGATGCCCAGTGCCCTCTCCGTCTTTATGCCCTCGCTCTCCCCTCCTGCACACAGAGGCCCGCTGGCCCCCAGTGGTGTTTGCAACTTTGGCTCCTGCCTTAGTGTTTTTGAGTATCTGAGGGGCTGGAGCAGGCAGGTGCACCTGGAGCCGTCTGGTTCCGCTCAGGGATTTCCTTACCTTCTCTCTGCTCACACACGCCCCACCCCTGCAGCCTGTGGAGGTCAGGCCTGCTGCCCAGCAACTCTGAGCCCCACAGACAGGCCAGGCCTGATGACATCTGCCTGTGGGTATTTTTATCCAGTGACATTCCTGCACTTGGGAAAGTGGTGGGCAGAGACAGAGGCGGCTGTGAGGACCCTCCTGTGACCCTGGGACAGTCCTGTGGGCCCCGCCTATCACTGTTCTAAGAGACCAGGGCTTCTGTCTTACTAAGGTAAGACCAATTCAGGTACTTGCCCACTTCCTGCCACCTGGTTTAGGGTGTGGGGATTGAGCAGAACACACCTGCAGTATGGTTCTAGAAGAATGCAGGTAAAGGCAGCATGTCCCAGAGAGGGCTGGACCTGTCTGTAGAGCACCCTCCCCATAGAGAAAGACCCATTTGTCTGCATTTCTGCC